AAGGCCTCCTTAGAATTAAACCTTGCCAGATAATACTTAACACTGGAAACCACCACACCCTGTGACCTCCAGATAATTTGCCACCTCTGTATGTGCAGTGGGAAGACTCAACTGTGGTGGCCTGCAACAGTAGGTATTTTTAAAGGGACTGCATGGGTTAGTAGCATCAAATCTATTTTTTTATCTCTAGCCATAGCACACCAGATCTCTCAACTAAAAAAGAAGAATCATGTCATGGACAAAGGTGCCAACAGCTATTTCTGTTGTCCTCTGATCACATGTCTAATGCAAAAAAGGAGTTAGGCTAGACCTCCCTCCAGGATAAGTTTTGACAGAAATCTGTTGTTCATGTAACAGCAGCAATACTCCCACCTGAATTTAGAAGCTCCCTTCTAACTCTCCCATGCTTCCCAACATACATGGCCATTATCTGAGAGATGCTGTGCTGCTTTACAGCACCTGAGCTCTGTTCACCTCACTTTCAATTTAGATCTTGTTACAGAAGGCACATACCCTCATACAGATACAATCACCCAAATGGGCCTGTCAGGGTCACATATCTAGTTCTATACATCACATGGAAACATTTACTGAGCCTTTACAGACTTTTTTACAGACTGACACAATCCTTTTTTCGTAATTTTGGTCGTGACTGAGTTTGCCCAAGTTAGAAATGTTAAAATTAGTGCTACGTGTCTAAGCAGCAGAGCAGCTTCTACCCTGATCTGGCTTGCATGGGTGCAGGCAATTTCAGGAACATATTGCACTAAAAACAACATCTAATAAACTGTTATTGCTGGTAGAAGAAAAAATATTTTTACTCACTTGCAAGGCAGGGTCAGGACTGTTTATTTTTGCATTTATGTAGCTATTTAATCTTGCAACACACTATTGCATACAGAATCATTTACAACTGCCTTTTCAAAATAAGCTAATGTGCTTGTGAGGAAAAACATAGGACGTTACTTAAACTTAGCAGTAGCAACCACCAATCACCTGGGGCAAATGACCTTTTTGTTTTCTTAAAATTGGGGCTAAAAAAAGTTAAAGGCTGGATTTAGCCCACTGGTTCCTAGACACATACTCCTGCAGCTCCTTTTATCATGCCACATATTTAGAAAGATTGGTTTTACCTGGAACAACAATATCTCTGGATGTTTTCCTTCTGATATTACATTAGCAGTAAGAAGGGAGTAAGCAGGTGTTAGCCCTTCATTAGCACTGCTCACTGCAGGAACTCATCTTGCATTACATGACACACTTACAGACATGAATTGACTGAGCTGCCATCAGTTAGATCTGGGCTACATTTTCACTGCTTTAGTCTCCCTTTAGCTGATTAGGCATTTGCTTTCTCAAGAGTATTAAGAGTGGCTATAAACTGCTCCTCCACTTCTGTTGCCACATCACTAAGAATTATGCAATGGAGTCTGCCTAGTATCAGAGTTATCAATTTTCAAAATGAATCATCTATTCTAGTGCAATACAGTTTACTTCAGTACTACTCCTTCCTTTCATGAAAGATGTCTGCCTGTTTCTGGCATCTGGTCCTGATGTGCTTTTGAGAAGCCTGAATAACCTCTGATTACCAGTAGTGACTCAGTGTTTAAAAAAAAAAGGGGGGGGGGAGAGGGGGAAACTGAGCACAGAATCAAGGAACACTTCCTAGCTCTGATTTTCATTCACTGTATAAGGACAATAATATCAGAATGTCAGAAAATGTGTCAAAAATTATTACATTCTGCCATGATAGGAGCTGTGAGAGACACAAAGAATTCTACTGATGAGTAGAACAGCTAAGAGTAAACAAATTCTCCTTGAAAGTTCAGTTCAGATTTTTTGAAAAAATTGTATAGTAGCAATCCAACTGTGTTTATCTCCTACAACTTCTGGCAAAGTAACTACAGGAGCAACAGCTACCATTTGTATGACACACAGGCCGCTAGCCTGTGACAAATGTTATACTAAATCTTTTCAGATCCTTTCCTAGGTGTGACACTTGCTATTCCCACCAGTGTTCATTAGCAAATTCCTACATTAACAACCAATTATCACATATCTTGTCCTCCAGCCCAAGGGTGTCCTTCCTCCCAGCAGCTTTTCTTTAGCTCTCCCTACAGACTACCTGCCTGAAGTCCTCTCTGTGTTATTATGGCTTGTCTTCAACCTGAGCAGCAAACCAATCCTTGCCTAGCAGAGGCAGAAAGGTCTCTGTCAATCCCAGACTTTACTCTGAAAATGTAATTGTTCTCTAAACACATACCTGATCTTAAAAACTAAAGAACCCATCAGTTAACAATTACAATGAATTTTCTGTGAAAATGGACATTCCTTCCCATTCCCCTGAAACTCCCTCAAAAGTATGTAAGTTCTGTTTACTTAGAACATGTTACCTACTTGTTGGTTTGCCTTTGGTGTTGTATGACCATGTTTTTTTCATGGATAGTTTCCAGTAATGCAGTGGCCAGTGATTTGAGATCTGAAATGGACTGTGGTGTGGCTGGTAGGCTGCATCCCTGATCCTCCGACAACAACTCTTGGACTATAATGTTAAAAACACAAATGAGTTTTGGCTTCTCAGGCACAGAGATGTGACACAAACATTTACTTAGCATTAAAGAACTATTTTCATTACTTAAATTAATATATATATTTATATATAGAAAGACGGTGGCTTTCTAAGCTGATCTTTACTTCATGGCAATTGCCAGAACAAGTATATGCAGACACATCTTTTGTTAATTCTGCTTTTGGAAAATTATTTTTGTTCAGAAGGAAAAAAACTCATTCTTCTACAGGCCTACAGATTGGTAAAAATTGGTCTTTTCTCTCCCACTTACATTAAAACATAAGCCCAACAAGGAAGCTTTTATATTACTCTTTACAATTATTATATCCTTCAGGTTATTTTTTTCACTGATGTGAAAATATAGTCACTCACTCATGAACTCTTCCTCTGCAGCTTAGAGCTCGTACCTCTCAACCACATCATGAAGTTCACTAGTATCATTAACATCATTAACTAGAACCTGGCTCTGCCTCTTTATAGATATATATATATTTATATATGTATATATGCATGCAAGTACATGGAGAAGAGGATAGAGAGAAGTCAAAAACAGAAAAGCGAGTTTCAGCCTACCATGACAAATACTACTGATCTCATGTGTGTGTATGAATATACAAACACCTAAATAGTAGGGTGCCAGGTATACTCTTTGGCTCAGAGAATTTTCTCTTCTCCTTTCTTTCCTAATCTTGTATTTCCTTTGGAGGGGGGGAAAGAGATTACTCCATTTTGCAATCCCATGAAGACAAGGGACAAAAGGATTTCTTGCAAAACATCTGAATGTAAAAGCTTCCAAGAACAGGAGTACAAAACCTGACTTAGGGCCCCTCCTCTACCACACAGTCTATTTTTCACTGGAATATGAATTGTGATTGCCATTGTTAGCAGAGTAGAGAGATGAATAAAGATGTGATTTTTCAGGATCAAAGTTGCAGAGGGGTTTTGAGATCAAAAAAATAAATTTGATAAAACTGACAGGGAAGAGAATGAATGGAAAAAGATTAACAAAAGGAGAAGCAGTACTCAAGAGACAAATTTTACATTGTCAAGTCAACTAAGAAAAGGACAAAAATTAACACATAATAATAAACAGGAAAGAGAAGAAAGATTTTGGTTTGGTTGGTGAGGAAAGGGTTACTGAAATTAAGAGGTAAGATGGAAGGAATTCAATGAGGTATGCAACACCACGTTGCATTTATGTAATACCTTGCTTTGCAGACAGGACTCCAGTCAAAGCACTGCTACTGGATCTACTACGAGTCTTTGAATTTTTTCGTCTTTCTAGTGCATTCTAAGGAAACAACAAATATCTTATTCAGAAAAACAGTAGCCAACAAATCCTTTCATTAGGAGTAAAGAATGTGGAACTTTGGATTTTTGTTTCAGAACAACTCTGCAGGGCCTGGAGCTTATACCCATAGTAACATATGGGAGTGCTACTCTCCTGGAGTATAATTCTCCAGCCAGTCTTTGCAATGTTACAATTGCTATCACTTTATTGTAGGCTCTCCCACCCACTCCTCTCAATGCATTTTTAAGACTTGCCTATTTTTTAATAATCTGCTGACTGCCAGTGAAAACACTGCAGTATCCTGTATTGAATATCAGTTGGGAACAAAAATCAGTTTTTCCCCAGCATTTCTTTGGATAGGCTTCAAAGGGAAAGCTCAAACTCCTCTGTCAGAGTTTCTAGAAGCCCTTTTAGTAGCAGATACTGACTTCCAGGAATTAGCAGCAGAATGATCCTGCTACAGAAGTTCAGCTCTTCCAAAAAAATTACAGTTCTGTGAAGCCCACCAGGCCACCAAGATAAACTAACTCACACTCTGAGACCCAAGTCGTAAGTGTGAACAGGCACTGAAATGAACTTGGTACTTTGAGAAGTTTTGCTCATGCACAAAAAGCTATTAGTCCTGTGACTGCTTCACAGTGACCTCAATGGTTAAGAAGTCCTATTGACAGTTCTAAGACAATCCTTCTCATGCCCTGACAAGCAGGTCTCCCCTCCCACACCCCAAAATCACCTGCAGAAGAAAACAAAGTGCTTGACTTCAGGGAAGAGCAAAAATATTTTGTCTTCAGGATTCTGTCCTGAAGGTTTCATGCAAAACAGCATACATCTTAACCCGGGAATGGAAGAACAACGACAACTTGGCAAGCATTAAGACACATGAAGAAACAGTGCGGTCATTAGGGAACAGAGGGGCAAGACCTCCTTGTGATGGCAACATAGTTGTAGTCATTCACCACACACTGTGTGACCTGCTACTTTGCACCTACCAGCAGGCTGGAAGGCTGATCAGCCTCCCCAGCAGGAGGAAGGTTCCCCCACAGAACTTAAAAAAAGGTATTTAATTCATTTTTCAAAATACTCTCAATGGGTATCCCTTTGTACTATATCAGCTAAGAAGCCTACAAGGAAGACTGAACATGCAATAGGTATACATACCAGTATTGTCAGAATGTTAACGGTGGATTTTTCTTTGAAGACACAATTTTGTTCCTTAAATGCATATGAACGTGAGAATGAACAATAACCTCCATGAACAATGATGTGCAGTTTAAATGATACACCGAGAGGATCTTACCTTATATTTAGTAATATGAGACTTAAGAAGGTTGACTTCCTCTTGAAGTTGTTTTAATCTCTCTTGAAGATACCTGAAAAAGAAATGTAATCCTTTACTTCATGTTACCTTCAAGTACTGCCTCAAGCACTCTCTTTACTATTTGGCATGTCCTCTCTTCGAACTACTGAGAGTTCATTTCTCTCTGCAGTTTTGTGAGGATAAAATAACAAAATCTCACTGCTCTTGACCCCATAAAACTTTAAGTAGGGAAACAAATTGCATCAGAAAAGGAGGCTGCCCTTCTGTTAGATTTGTCAAGCACGCTGCACAACCGTTTTATATCAGTCCTCAGGTTTTTGGGGAGGGAAGCTAAAAGGATATATTTACGTCTAGAGGAAATAGTCAGGAAGCATTTACTCATGTCCTCTGTACTTGAAGGTCTGCGAGATGGACACATGAAGATTTGTATATATGTCAACACAAGACTCAACTATGCAGAACTTTTGTATTGCAATATCCATCACATACATGGCACTTCTCATTAGCAATCACACAGTAGAAAATTCACAGTTGAAAAATGGTATACAGTTAACAGAAACAGTACAGCTCTTCCTAATAGAGTTCATACACTTGGAGTAGATGGCTATTTCCACATAGAAAAATACCTTTTTCACATATAAAGGTTTTATAAAATATCCTCTTTCATGTAGTGCAACTGCAGCTGTATTAGGGTTTGTGACAATTTAACTATTTTAGAGAAGAAAAATCATATCACTGTCAGGGGAGCAGGGGGCTTAAAACGATACAGCACTCTGTAGGCCATGCAAAAGAGAAAAAAAAACGGAGTAGCTGGGAGGAAGCAATGCCTTTGGTATTACGTTTTCCTACCTGAAGTGTAAGTCTCTGTAAAAGGACAGTGTCGGAAATCATCTATTTCACTTTAAGGTAATTGTTGACACTAAGGGAGGCACCTGCTATGGCTCTGTCAGTGACTCCTCTCTGTCGTCCTTACCAGAGACCATAAAACACATTATTTTCCCAAGAAAGCAGCAAGAATATCTACATGGGTGATTTCGTCAGCACCTTTTCTTGGCAAATAACTCCATGTTGACAACCTCTCCCTGTAGTGAGAATTATGTCTGAAACTGTTTACTCAGGGTACTCAAAGTCCCCGTTTCCTATCCAAGATTAGCCCATTACAGCTCACTATGAATTTCTGAAGACACTGATTTTTAATATTCTTTTGGTGCCACACAGTGATGAGAATAAAAAGGTCTGTACTTCACTGCCTTTTCCTTGTTTAGCTCTATTTGGGAATATCATTTACATCTCTGTAGTCAAAGAAAACATTGGTAAATTACTGAAGCCTAACTTTCTCAATGTTATTTGATGGTTAGCTACAGCACAAACAAAACAGACAAAACAAATTACCAAAATATCTTAACTTTTGATCTTGGATATATTTTTTTTAAGTTTTGTGTGACTGACTTCCTGATGCTCCTGTTAAAGCAATACATTGCTTCTTCTAGGGAAAGGTTTGCAGTGCACTCACCTGTTCTCCATACATAAAGCATCTACGTCGATGATGCGGTTTTCATGCCCTCCTAAGACATGATTAAGTTCTTGGTTTAATCTGTCAGACTTATCTTGGTAAAAAGAGCGTTCCTCTTTCACATCCTGTAACTCATCCAGTGCAGCCTGAAGATCATACCTTAGAGTCTCGATCTGAGGAGAAAGGAGAGCTGTGTGACTATTTTGAAGTTCAAACAATAGATTACATAGTGCCCAAACTGAAAACAGCAACAAGCACTGCATGTCTGAACAGGATTGATTTTGGATGGTCAAAAGTCCTTCCAAAGCTCATAAACCCTGGTACTTTTACTCTGTTTTGGAATTATTTCATTAATTTGCAGTTAAGTAACTTCAGCAGTTAGACCTGTTTTACAAAATTTCTAGAAAATAACTCAAATGTAACAGCAAAAGAAACCTTAATCTGTGCTCTAATTCTGCTACAAACATATTAAACTGGTTTTAGCATATAAAAATTTCTAGGGCTCCAGGAATGAACTCAACTGAATAAGAAAGAAAATAGAAAATAAGAAGAAGTAGTCTGTAAGGGGGAATTTATACTAATCACAGGACTTTCCACAATGAAGTTCCACAGAATAGGAAGAAGAACTGAGAAAAGTACAAAATAAGCTACCATGGGATTTATAGGGTGAGCTCTGCTATTAAGCAAAAGGGTGAAGGAGTCCAGTATGAAAGATACTCAAGGATGAAGAGCTTCAAACTTCCAAGAAAAGGAAATGGAGAACGTGAGAAAAATCTGTAATGAGTTGAGAAGTCTCCACTGGCACTTCAGAAAACACTGATAAGCCAGGAAGGACAACAGAAGACCATGTGAAAAGAGGCTAGGTGAACAGAGAGAGTGCAAGCTTGGCAACACGTGAGGATGCCACAGAGAATCACATTGGAAGAAGACTGAGTACAGTCAATGGTCCTTCTGGGTGAACAGAGAGAGTGCAAGCTTGGCAACACGCGAGGATGCCACAGAGAATCACATTGGAAGAATGAGTACAGTCAATGGTCCTTCTGATAAGCTAAAGTAGTGCTGCACTTGAGTGAAAACTGGAAAACAAGAAAAACACAACATCTCCTGGATCACAGAATGGCTCATTCAGGGTGGAACTGACATTGGTAGGAATGAGTGTGAGAACACAAACCCCCAAAATTGTCCAGGAAGCTATGTATCAGTATTAGGGAAA